TTTTTTAAAAGAGAATCTCACTTTATTTAACTTTTCTTTAAAAAACAAACCACTATCTTTTCTTTTTCTTTTAAAAATGCTACTTTCAATTACTTTAAATTTTTTAAATTTTCAGATACCTTTATATTTATTTTTTAATTCCAACCTTATTTTACTTTTAAATTTTTTAAAACTTTTTACTTTTTTTAAATTTTCTACATTCTTTTACTTTTTTTTATTTTTTATTTTTTATTTTTTTTAAATCATTTCCGAAATTAGTATATATATATATTTTTTAAAATAAAAATAATAAATAAAATAAAATATTTTCGATTTTTTTTTATATATAAAAATAACAAAAAATAAAACTATTAATAGTGATAATTCACTTTTTATTTTTTATTTTTTGGTTTTGTTTTGTGTTGGACAAAAATGAAGAAGGGTGTTGGGTTAATGGAGCGGACCGGATCGACCCGGTTTGAAACGGACCGGGTCATGGGGAAAGTTGGGCAATTATTTGGGCCTGTGGTTTGAAATTGAAGAAGTGGCCCAATCCGATTTTTCTTTGTATTTTTGTTCTCTTTTCTTCTTTTATTTTTCTAAAACTAAATTATAAAAGTACTTAAATTATTATTAAGAACTAAATTAAGTTATAAAAGCGCAAATTAACTTCCAATAACAATTAACGCACAATTAAGTAATAATTAAGCATAAAATTGTTCATTTGGACATTAAATGCTAAAAATGCAAAAGATGCCTAATTTTGTATTTTTTATTAATTTAACAAATAAACATGCATAGACAAACATACAAATAGTTACACAAAATATCACAAAAATTGCACACCAAGAAAAATTATTTTATTTTTGAATTTTTTGGGAGTAATTCTCATATAGGGCAAAAATCACGTGCTTACAGGTACAAAACACTATTTGGTAATAAAAATTTATTTTATTTACCAAAAGAAATGGTACATTCGACCTCTTCCTTTTACAAAAAATAAAAATAGAAATAAAAAAATTCTTTCATGAAAAAACCCTTTAAAGTAAAAGGATTTAATAGAGAAAAAATTGCCTTAGACGGGAGAAGAAGAGAGACAGTAGGGCACTTTGATGGGTGCCATAGGCATCCACTGTGAATTTAGATATATAGTTCAATTCTTATTTAATAGCCTTAAAATTAAAAGTCTTAAGTTTATCTTTGTAGTTTTCTCATTTGGGAAATGATAAAAAGAAACAACTAAATGCTAAGTACCTGGACCAAACATGTTTTTTTGTTGTTACTTTTTTTTCTATAAAAACATTAAATGAAAAAAATACCAAATCGAATGTCCAGATTAATTCGCTCATGTTGAGCTGCCTAAAGTCTCAAACAAGAGCCCAATAGAGTAGTTATTTACTTACACATTACTTAGGTCTATTATTAGATATCTGGCCCAGATTTATAACAAAAGTCAAAATATAATAGATATATACATAGATTCTTCTGGAACAAAAATAGATGACATGAAATAAAAGAAAATATCTCTCTTCTCTCTTCGGTTGCCCGACTTAAGGTTTTCCTTTTTCAATTTTAATTTCTCTCAATCGACTCCAATAATGGAGTCTAACATGGTGTCAGAGCATAGAAATTGATCCGTCTTGATGTGAGCTTTTGTCCGATGGTATCAGTCGGATTTGGTTCAATGGTTTTGGTTCGGTACTAAGGTTTCCGACCTGAGCGATTGTGGGATTTCTTCAAGTTTTTCGGATTTCTTTGAGTTCCTCTTCTGATTCTGCATTTATAAGACCTTAGCTTCTTCAGATGTGTGAAGAAGGAGGGTAAAAGTTCTGTCTTTCATCTGTATGTCAAAATTAATGTGCGATTAGGGTTTTGTCTGCTCGATTTCGATTGTGATATAGTGATATCTGTATTATCTCGTTCATTTGAGACTTGTTATCATTCAAAACTGTTATTACATTGTCTGAATATAGGAAGTCCTTCCTCCGTTACTGATGGTTTTGTTGAGTTTACTTTAGACAGCTTACCCTTTTTTATGTTCACATATCCGATAGTCCTGGTAGTCAGTTAGTTGCTATCCATTTCAATGGGACTACCTTTGTACATTAGCGTAGTAGTATGCTCACCTTACTATCTGCTGAAAATAAGCTAGGGTTAGTTACTGGCAAAGTTCCTGAACCTCCACCCAGTTCTCCCTATTAACCTTACTAGGAACGATGTAATGATATGGTAAATGCTTGGATTACCAATTCATTGACTAGGGAGATAGCAGTTAGTGTCATGTGTCTCAACACTCCTAGGGAAGTATAAAGTAATATAAATAAAAGGTTTGGACAATCTAATGGATTCAAATACAATCAAATCCAAAGAGAAATCAGTTCTGCCTCACAAGTCACAAGGGTCTTCTGATATTGCTTTACTAAAATGAGGGCTTTTTAATATGAATTAAACTCTGCCTATATTGGTCCTACTTATTTCTGTGTGGCTCTACCCAAATTCATAGAAGACCAACACCGTTTTCAATTCTTAAGTGGATTGATTCCACTGTAAAGAGTAATATCATGCTCATGTCTCCACTCTCATCCATTAGTAAGGATTATTCTCTACTCCAACATGATGAAAGTCAAAAGGAGAATCAACCTCCAGCCTTGGGATTTTCGGTAATTCATCATCTTTCTCTGCTACTACATCTAATTCAGCACATAGGTAGAGTTTAATTCATCCCAAAGAGCCCTCATTTTTGTGAAATAAGTAGCAATATCAGAAGACCCTTGTGAGGTAGAACTGATTTCTCTTTTTGGATCTATTAGATTGTCCAAACCTTTCATTTATATCACTACATACTTTCATAACAGTGTAGAGACACATGACAGTAACTGCTATCTCCTTAGCCAATGAATTGGTAATCCAAGCCTTTACCATATCATTACATCGTTCCTAGTAAGAGTAATAGAGAGAATTGGGTGGAGGTTGAGTAACTTTGCTAGTAACTAACCCTAGCTTATTTTTAGCAGATAGTGAGGTAAGCATACTACTACACCAATGTACAAAACCAGTCCTATTGAAAGGGAAAGGAACTAACTGAGTACTAGGACTATTGGATAGGTGAACATAGAAAGGGTAAGCTAAGTCCAAAGTAAACTCAACAAATGAACGAGATAATACAGATATCACTATATCACAGTTGAAATCGAGCAGACAAAACCCTAATCGCATATTAATTTTGACATACAAATGAAAGACAAAAATTTTACCTTCCTTATTCGCATATCTGAAGAAGCTAAGGTCTTATAAATGCAGAATCAGAAGAAGAATTCAAAGAAATTCGAAAAACTTGAAGAACGGTTTTATATGATAACAAGTCTCAAATGAACGAGATAATACATATATCACTATATCACAGTCGAAATCAAGCACACAAAACCCTAATCGCACATTAATTTTGACATGCAAATGAAAGACAGAATTTTTACCCTCTTTTGCACACCTGAAAAAGCTAAGGTCTTCTAAATGCAAAATCAGAAGAAGAACTCGAGGAAATCCCAAAATTACTCAGATCGAAAACCTTACTACCGAACCAAAACCATTGAACCAAATCCGACAGGTACCATCGGACGAAAGCTCACATCAAGATGGATCGATTGATATGCTCTAATACCATGTTAGACTTCATTATTTGAGTCGATTGAGAGAAATTGAAATTGAAAAAAGAAAACCCTAAGTCGGGCAACAGGAGAGAGAAGAGAGATATTTTATTTTATTTCATGTAATCTATTTTTGTCCCAGAAGAATCTATGTATATCTATTACATCTTGGCTTTTGTTATAAATTTGAGTCGGGTATCTAGCAATAGGTCCAAGTAATGTGTACGTAAAATAACTGATCTACTCTTGTCTGAGACTTTAGGCAACCCAACAATAACAACTCCAAATAGTACTCATGAATAACAAGATAAAAGAAAACCAAACCAAACAACTCAAAGTGATACACTTGGTCAATGTCTTTTTTATTAAACTTTGAATATGTTCACTCTTTTAGCATATTTTCTCATGTTAACTTTTGCTCTATCTTCTTCGAAAAGGACAGACGACATAAAAAAATTATTTCAGTTGCAAAATTAAATATTGATCTTGGCTAGGTTCTACCAAAATATTTACAAGAAGACACTCCAGCACCTCCACTTCAAAATAAAAAAGGAACAAGGTTAGGATCGTAGCAAAGTCATATATAACAAGTTAATTTTATTGGAAGGTGTAACTAGATCACCTCTTGTTCCAGATAACTAAAAATTTAATGTTTATTAGGTTCATTTTCAGTCATTCAAAGTATTTCTTTTCTTTGAAGCACCATTCGAATTAGCAGTAGAACCATGACTGATCTTGGCACCCCCAATTATTCTTGGTAGAGTAAAAAAATCAAAAGAAAGTGTGGAACAAAGTGAATTAAAGGAAAAAAGAAGGACAAAAAAAGAATAAATTTGAAAAAAAGGAGGCCCACCGCTCTAAAACAAAATTTAAATTGTAGCCGTTGGAAATCATTAGTAAAATAATGATTTTTCAAAATCTTCCCCTCCTATTCCTTCAATTCTCCGGAATAAACCCTTCCCCTATTTCAAAACCCAAACCGGCAATTCAAACCTTAGATCAAATCTTAGCCGTCCATCTCTGCCCCCCCTGCAGATTCTTATTTGAATCTTGAATAAAGAAATCAACAGACTTCACTCTCCGACAGCTCGAGAGAGAGAGAGAGAGAGAGAGAGAGAGAGAGAGAGAGAGAGAGGGAGGGAGGGAGATCATTTGAATTTCTATTACAAAGAACTGGTAAACTGCAACAAATTGTCCTGTGTCTGAGAGAGAGAGAGAGAGACAGAGAGGTTCTCTACTCGAGAATGAGTTGCCACTTTAAGATTTGATTTTTTTGTTCAAGATTCTTGAAATTCCAAATTAAGCTGAAATAACCCGAGAAAGTGACTTACAATTTCAACTTCTCGAGGACTCGGTATTCTCTTCTTCAACGCTTCTTTCAGGTACTAAATCAGCATTCTTTACACAATTTAAGGTGTTTTGAATTAAAATTCCTATCTTTTTAGTTTTTTTTTGGGAGATTTTTGTATGTCAGTACAAAGTTTATTGGAATAAAACGGGTTCAAATGTAGCAAAGGGATATTTAAGATTCATATAGATGAACCCACTTAGTTTGGGATCGAGGAGTAGTAGTCATTGTTGTTTTTGAATTAAAACACATTTATCTTAAATCTTTTTGTTGCTAACAGAATTAAGGTTTCTTGAATTAAATTCCTATTCTTTTTAGTTTGTTCGGAGATTTTTATATATGTGAGTATAAAGTGTATTGGAATGAAATGGGTTCAAATGGAGCTTAATGAATTTTCAAGATTCATATAAATGACACCAACTAGTATAAGATTGAGGTGTAGTAGTCACTGTTGTATTTGAATTAAAAGACATTTATCTTGAAACTATTTTGTTGGTACAGAATGTTGAGGGACTTCAAATTCTTGCGTCGGAACAGTGGCAAGAATGCTCAAGCTGAGGACATTGAGAATGTACCAGTGGATCCGAGGGATTCAATGGTTCCTCAAACCAGTACAGACTCAACAAGGCCACCTTTAAACTCAATTCAAGAAGCCACCCGGAATTTGAAAGGCGGAGCAGATCAACAAATGGGTGTTAGGGTTACTAAAATTGATAAGACCCCAACTAAACCTAAGGCTAGTAGATATTCTGATATCACTAAAACCCCAGAAAAGCCTATAGGTTTACCAAAAGGTCGATATGGGTGGACGCAGAAAGCTGATTCCAGCTCGAGTACTGTGGAAGCAGGGGATGACACAACTACATGTGGTGGTCAATCGAGGGTTGGAGCAGTCAATGCTACTCCTCGGTCCATGAGGACGATAGGAAGGGCGAATTCTGGCTATTCGGAGAGTCATTCTAATCAAACCACACCATCTAAAAGTGTAACTAAGCCTCCAACTCCTTCATTTTGTTTAGCTGGTGGTTCCAGGCCTTTAGCAAGTGGAGGTGCCCGGATGGCCAATTATGCAGCATTGTATAGGGGAATACCGAGCAGTGGTAATTCGTTGACTGTTGTTGATACAGTTGAAGTTCCTCATTTTGACCTCAAGGAAAATCCATCATTCTGGATGGAGCACAATGTACAGGTACGCTGACTTCTATAGCATGCCTTTAAGATTTGGATTTTCTCAGGATATATTTTGTCAACCTGTCATTTTGGTGATCAAGTACTAAACTGCATTGAATTACTATAGGTTTTGATACGAATGCGTCCTCTCAATAACATGGAGAGAAGTACTAATGGGTACAATAGGTGCTTGAAGCAGGAAAGTGCACAATGCATCACCTGGATTGGGCAACCTGAAACTCGGTTTACATTTGATCACGTGGCATGTGAAACAATCAACCAGGTCTGCTATAATTAATATCCAACTTAGAACAATTAATGGGTGCTATAAGATGCTGAAGATGATGCAATTTTATTTTGAAGGAAACACTTTTCAAAATGGTTGGTTTGCCAATGGTGGAGAACTGTTTATCTGGATATAATAGCTCCATCTTTGCATATGGACAGGTGAGGCATATGATATTTGATGAAAAACTATTGGGGTCACTGCTTTTGAACTTGTGCATGAATAGTGTTAAAAGTTGTTACTCCACGTGCTTAAACAAAGTTAACCTAAATGTTTAGAAGGGACTGGAAAAGGGGTTCATGGAGTTTCATTGTCTGCGCGCAACTTGTAAGGAATTTTTCAACCTGGCCTCTGCAAATTGATGTAGAATTTCTCAGGCATTTTAGTGGTTCGAGGAACCAGGATGTGATTGTATTCAGCCAGTTACTTGATCAATTGAATATTGAGTATCCACCACCACCACCCCTTCCAAAAAAAAGAAAAAAAGAAAGAAATCAAATCTCCTAAGTGCTTAGACTGTTATCGTTACATTCAATACAACTCCTTTTGAAGTATCTGCGAATGTTTAGATGCTAAGGCAAGTAGGAAACTGGACACTGTGTATTTATGATTATTATTGTCCATTTATCTTTCTAGTTCTCAAAGCAATGATATCTGTTCTTGATTCATTGTCCACTCACAGTTTTTACTTCTAAAGTTAAGTCAAAATTAGTAGCGCATTCAGATATAACTTCTTCTTGCAGACTGGTAGTGGGAAGACACATACAATGCTTGGTGAGATTGAAGAACTGGAAATCAGGCCGAGCCCCAACCGAGGAATGACACCGCGTATATTTGAATTCTTGTTTGCAAGGATAAGAGCAGTAAGTGGGATATTTATGCCTTCCATTCTTAATACAACTTCTAATTTAGAAATTGTAGGTCATTGCTTCTGTAAACTTCACTTTTGATTTCTATTTTTCAGGAAGAGGAAAGTAGAAGGGATGAGAGACTACAATACAGCTGCAAATGTTCTTTTCTAGAGATTTATAATGAACAAATCACCGATCTCCTTGATCCTTCATCCACAAATTTAATGGTAATTTGTCAATCCCGTATCTGAACTTGAACTGAAAATAAGATGCAACGTACTGCTGTTGGTTCACATTCATACTTTTCTCTTGTAGTTGCGAGAGGATAGCACGAAAGGTGTGTATGTTGAAAATCTGTCCGAATTTGAAGTCCAAACTGTGGGTGACATTCTTAGGCTCTTGACTCAGGTGACAATATCTGTTTTGAGTTTCTTCAATAATATCTTACTCTTTTCGTAGCACACACATGATGCAATTTTTTGCAAGTAGCATAAAAACGTTCTCATGAATTTGATTAAACTTCTTTCAGGGCTCTTTAAACAGGAAAGTAGCATCAACAAACATGAACAGAGAAAGCAGTCGCTCCCACAGTGTTTTTACCTGTATAATTGAGAGTAGGTGGGAAAAGAACTCTACTGATAACTTCCGTTTTGCAAGGCTCAATCTTGTTGACCTTGCCGGTTCAGAAAGGTAATTCATATATGGATAAGAGCAAAAATGTTATGTATTGCTAAGGAAAGAAAGAACTACAAATATTTCAGACATATCATTTACGTGGCCGTTACCTATTACAGACAAAAGACTTCTGGTGCTGAGGGTGAACGTTTGAAGGAAGCTGCAAGCATCAATAGATCTTTATCAGTTCTAGGGTATTTTTCCTGATAACCCTTGCCTCGTCTCCTAGGTCTTTTTCATTCAGTTGACAGAGCATTTCCTTCTGCAGTCATGTAATAATGGTTCTGGTGGACGTGGCCAATGGGAGGCCAAGGCATGTTCCTTACAGGGATTCGAGGTTGACATTTCTACTTCAGGTGAACTTTTAAAACACATTTTCTGCTCAGTGTTTAAACCAGAGCATATCGGCATCCTTCTTATAGTATTGAAATGCAGGATTCACTGGGTGGAAACTCAAAAACGATGATTATAGCCAATGTCAGCCCTTCTATCTGGTTGGTGTTATTTTATCCGTTTTTTTTAATCTTATACTGAGTAGTTTAGGTGAAAAGTTATTGGACTATGCTAATTTGCTTTCCTCAGTTGTGCAGCTGAAACACTGAATACATTGAAGTTTGCTCAGCGAGCAAAACTTATTCAGAACAATGTAAGCATATAACATAGCTGATGACAAAGTGGTGAACCTACATTCAGCCTCAATAATTTGACTTTGTTCCTTTTGTCCTTTTCAAACTGAAGGCTGTCGTCAATGAAGATTCTTCAGCAGATGTCACTGCTCTTAAACATCAAATAAGACTTCTAAAGGTGGAAAACCTCTTTTTAAACATTTATTCTGCAATGGCAGAAGTTAGCGTGAGCTTAAAACCTGATGGAAAAGATTGGTGAATTTTTTGAAACAGGAGGAGCTTTCTTCTTTGAAACGTCAGAATGTATCTAGAGCTTTGTCATTTGGTCAAACAACTATTTCAGGAGACTGTAGGACAGAAGATGACAGCAGTTATGCTGAGAAGGAACTTGAGACAGATCAGCATGGTAGTTTGATTACAAAGGAAGCCAAGGGCATTGTAAGGTTGTCCTCCAAACAGGTACACCATATCTTTTTAGACTGCTTTTCTATGTTGCTCGTCATCTCATATCATATCTTTTTCTTTCATGAATGAAGTTTGCAAGTCAAAAGTATGACACAACACCTCCAATAAGTTTTCAAGTTAGCATTCCATATGCTGCTATCTCACCTCCTGATGTACAAAATACTGAACAATAATAATAGCATTCCATATGCATTGTAAGGTTGTCCTCCAAACAGGTACACCATATCTTTTTAGACTTTTCGATGTTGCTCGTCATCTCATATCATATCTTTTTCTTTCATGAATGAAGTTTTCAAGTCAAAAGTATGACACAACACCTCCAATAAGTTTTCAAGTTATCATTCCATATGCTGCTATCTCACCTCCTGATGTACAAAATACTGAACAATAATAATAGCATGAAAACTATAGTTCAGTTACATTTTACATTTACCAAAGTCTAAAGTTGCAGAATGTGTTGAAACTCAGAAGTCTTCAATGAGAATAGCATGATAATTGATAGACAACAATGTAGCAAATAGCAATAAGATACAGAATAGGATGAATGAACAGAAGAGTGTTTAGATGTGCTATGTGATAGAGAGAGACACATGGTGAATAAGTTCTATAGAACTGTTGTGAGATCAATGATATTATCTTGGAGTGAAGATGAATGTCATATAAATGAATATGTGGTCATAAATAATAAGATAAGAGTAGAAGTGATCATATATGACAGATGGTGCAAGTAGCACACATGGAGGATAAAATGGAAGTAGCTTGAGATATTTTTGGTGTGTCCTACATAGATTTCTTAGATACATCGGTTCATAGGTGTGACAATGTGATGATTGAAGGTTATAAAAGAGGATGAGTTGTACCTAAAATCACATCGAGGAAAGTTGTTTTAAAAGATTTAAGATATCTCAGAATCAATGAAACTTAGTTAAGAATAAACCGCAATGGGAGTAAAGGATCCATACAGGAGATACCAACTAGTTGGGATTAAACTAATTAACTGTGTGGTGTGTAGGATAATTGTGGTCAGAGAACTCCTAATTCTATGTAAGAAGGCAAGTTATTCAATATCAGTATGAAATGGATTTGAATAGAGCGAAATGGCTAGAGGATTCATATAACCGACTGGTTGATTGAGACTAATTGACAAGTATGAGTGCAGGAAAAGAGGAACTATACCTATTCAATCATTGTTTTCTTCTTCTTTCTGATTTTAACTCAAGACCTTCATTAGATAGTTACTTTTCATAGTATCTGAAAACCAGCAGACTCTGCTTCTTTGCTTGTCCCAGCTTGGTTCACTCTGATTATTGCATCTCTATCTGGTGTTCTTACATTCTTGCATCATCGTGGCTAAATAATCAGACCTCACTTTCCAAGTGCTTATCTACTCTGCTGCGCAATGATTCCTCTTGCTTTTATTTCTTTGTTTTTCAGTTGAAATCACTAGAGACCACTCTAGCCGGTGCTTTAAGGAGAGAGCAGATGGCCGAAACTTCTATCAAACAACTTGAAGCTGAAATCGAGCAGCTTAACCGTCTGGTGACCCACTTCTCACTTTTTTGCCTTCCCTCCCATTTCTTTGTTTTGGTTTGACATTTGCAATAGTGCTGCAATAAGATAGCTAACTTTGTTGCTGAATACTACTGTTATTATACTTATCTCTTAGGTTCGTCAAAGGGAGGAAGATAATAGGTGCAATAAGATGATGATAAAGTTCAGAGAAGAGAAAATTCAAAGGATGGAGTCACTTGTCAATGGACTAATACCAGCAGATAGTTATTTATTGGAGGAAAACAGTGCACTTACTGAAGAAATTCAGTTGCTTCAAGCTAAGGTTGATAGAAATCCAGAAGTTACTCGATTCGCATGTGAAAACATTAGGCTTTTGGAACAACTGCGGAGGTAGAATGTTCAAACGGAAATTCAATATAACCGAATGTTGAAGCTCATTTCCTTTTTATTCGTCAATAATGTTCAACTTTGTTGGGAATATAGATTTCAAGACTTTTATGAAGAAGGAGAGAGAGAAATTCTGTTAGCTGAAATTTCGAACTTGCGGGATCAGGTAAACACGGTGCTTTTGTCTATTGTAGTTCTTTTACTTGTTTGAGCCTATAATGCTAAGACAATGTATGTGTTTTCACAGCTACTTATCAATATTGATGGGAGCTTGAAGCAGCACAGCCATTTGGACATGAATATTCCATCTCAGGTAATGTACATTGTAAAATAGATAGAGGATTGAGCAATTTCAATGTCAAGAGGTAACAAGTATATTTACAAGTACATAGAGCCCTAACTATAGAAATAATCAAAAAGGAAATCCTATAGATTTGTTGTGAATCCCTATAATTCTTCTGCTATGTACATTACATAAGAGTATATCTATATTCATTAAGTAACAGAATATGTCGACGTTCATTATGCAACACTCCCCTCAAGTTGGAGCATAGATATTAATCATGCCCAGCTTGTTACGAAGATAATCAACTCGACTTCCATTCAACGGCTTTGTGAACAAATCAGCTGGTTGCTCTCCTGTATTCACGTAGCCAGTGGAGATCAAGTTCTCTTGATTCACGTAGCCAGTGGAGATCAAGTCCTCTTGAATCTTTTCACGAATGAAATGGCAGTCAACCTCAATATGCTTAGTTCTTTCATGATATACCGGATTTGACACCAGAGTTTTGCTGGTATTGGATGCTCCAACCCAATTTCAGTCAAAAGATGATGTATCCACATAATTTCACACGTAGATTGTGACATAGCTCTATACTTGGATTCGGCACTGGATCGAGATACAACACTTTGCTTCTTACTCCTCCACGATACCAGGTTCCCGCTAACAAAAACACAATACCGTGTAGTTGATCTTCTATCAATTTTGGATCCAGCCCAGTCAGCATCTGCAAAACACTCAATATGAGTATGGTCGTGATTGCTATATAATATGCCTAGTCCAGGAGCTCCTTTCAAGTAACATAAAATTTGTTCCAAAGTTGTCCAATGTTTGACCGTTGGTGCAGACATGAACTCGCTAACAACACTTACCGCAAAAGCAATATCTGGACGAGTCACAGTGAGGTAGTTTAATTTTCCAACTAACCTCCTGTATCTCTCTGGATCATTAAAAGGCTCGCCATCATCTTTCATAAGATGTTCATCAGGAACCATTAGAGTGTTACAGGGTTTAGCTGCCAACTTTCCAGTATTTGCAAGCAAGTCAAGAATGTACTTTCTCTCGGACAAAAGAATTCCCTTCTTGCTTCTATTTAGTTCTACTCCCAAAAAATATTTCAACATGCCCAAGTCCTTTGTATGAAACTTCGTATGCAGGAAAGACTTGAGGGAAGAGATCCCCACAGTCACTTCCTGTGATAACAATGTCATCAACATACACAACGAGGAGAATAGTGCCAGCTGCTGATTGCCGATAGAAGACTGAGTGATCACACTTGCTCATTTTCAGCCTAAACTCCTGAACTACTTCACTTAACTTACCAAACCAAGCTCGAGAACTCTGCTTCAAGCCATACAAAGACTTCTTCAAATGACAGATTTTCCCATACTCCCCCCGAGCAACAAAATCGGGTGGTTGCTCCATATACACTTCTTCCTAAAGGTTACCATGAAGGAATGCATTCTTGATATCTAACTGATGTAAAGGCCAATTTCGGAAGCAGCTAGAGAAATAAATAAGCGAACAGAAGTGAGTTTGGCAACTGGGGAGAAGGTATCAGAATAATCCACCCCATAAGTTTGAGCATACCCTTTAGCCACAAGTCTAGCCTTAAATCTTGCCACGGAACCATCTGGATTCACTTTACCTATGAAGACCCTCTTACATCACAAAGGTTCCTTTCCTTTGGGTAAATCCACCAAGTCTCATGTCTGGTTCTCCTCTAAGGCATGTATTTCTTCAAGCATTGCATCAGACCACCCAGGATGATTCAAAGCCTCCTTCACTGTTTTGGGTATCGAGATGGAGTCTAGAAAAGAAATCATAGATCTAGACGCAGAGGATAAGCGATCATAGGAAATAAAATTAGCAATGGAATATATGGATTTGCAAGTACGTATACCTTTGCGAAGAGCAATAGGAAGGTCAAGGTCTTCTGGACGACTAGGCGGATGAGGATCTGATGACGAAGAAACTGTTGCAGGACATGTCTCATTTGTCTCTTGCCTCCGCGAGTAAACTTGAACAATTGACGGTCTTGCTAACATAGTTGGAGCAGGTGCTAAAGGTACACTAGTTGATTGGTGTTCAGTAAAAGAATTAGGAGCTGGAGGAACATCGTCTGGTTGTTCTGTTAAAGCACGAATAACCTGATATGTTAGCCACTAGTCTTCCTCCCCCTGATTAGTAGAAATAGGAGGTGCATAGTAAAATGGTGTAGTTTCTGAAAATACCACATCTGTTGACACCAAATATTTGTCAAGTTCAGTAGAATAACATCGAAACCCCTTCTAAAGGCGAGAATAGCCCAAGAAAACACACTTCAATGCCTTGGGATCCAACTTGGTAACACATGGTCGAACATCTCGAACATAACATGTGCATCCAAATACTATAGGACTGAAATAACTCTGACATTACCACCAAGCACAGTAGATGGCATGCGATTAATTAGAAAACAAGCCGTAGAGACCGCATCATTTGGAACAAAAGTGCCCAAGTAGATGCCTATTCTTCCTCTCCGCAACTCCATTTTGAGAGGGTGTATCAACACATGAAGACTGATGCAATATACCATGTTGTCTCATGTAGGACTGAAATAACTCTGACATGTATTCTTTAGCATTATCACTCCTTAGAATACGCATCAAAGCATTGAATTGAGTTTTGACTTCAGCACAAAAGGCAGAAAAGTGAGTAAATACTTCAGAACGACTCTTCGTAAAATAAATCCAAGTCATTCGAGAAAAATCATCTACAAAAGTGACAAAATATTTATGCTCAATTTTGGAAACAACAGGACATGGTCCCCAAACATTAGAATGAACTAACTCAAAAGCTGATTCAACTCGCTTATTTACCCTTGGACCTAACGAGATGCGATGATGTTTTGCAAATCGACATGACTCACAATCCAATGAAGAAATATTCTGAAACTGAGGACAGAGCTTCTTCAACAGAGGTAGAGAGGGATGTCCCAATCGACAATGTGCTTCAAAAGGAGACACGACATTGGAACATGCAATAGACTGTGGCTCCCATTCATCAAGAATGTAAAGATCACTAGATAGATATCCTTTACCAATAATAGTAACTGGAGAGGGTGCTTTGTGTGAGGGTGGAGAGGGTGCTTTATGTGACGGAAAGCTAGAAAAAATATATGGATTACCTATCATGTGATTTGTGGAACCTGAATCAATCACCCATTTTTTTGAAGAGGTAATAAGTCATGTTTTATCTGACCCAGCAAAAGCAGTTGAATTGAATTCTGAAATTGAAAAATTTTTAGAAACTCATCCGAAACCAAAATTGTTGGGCTAGGTAGGAGCTGTAGTATTATTTCCTCCCTGCATACTATTTATGATCATCTTTCCAAAAACTCCCCAAAGTATCAATATAAATGTTAGAAAAGCTAATAAAGCTCAAAAGTTCTCCACCAGAATAACACTATCCAACGAAACAGCGAACGAAAGACACCCAATGAAACAAAGAAACAGAACTCTAATAGAGCCAATCTAATAGAAAATAATCAATCAAAAGTCCAGCCAATAATGGTAAGAATCAGTAACCAAGAATCACTAACCAACAGATGAATCTCAAAGCTTTATAACCAAAGTTCCACACACAAAGTTAGTTCACTACTAAGGATCAGGCAATCACAGAAGGAAACAAAATTTGAACACAACAAAGAAAAGATGACAAAACCTTGACACTATGAACCGAACCTGGGATGGTCAGAGATTTTCCTGGCCGAGGTTTCCTGAACAAACAAACACCATAAGTTGGACGAAAATGTAAAGTCGATGCCGGAGAACCAAGTCGATGCTTAGTGGTGATGGTTAAACTTCAAATTCCAAACCCTTCAAAAGTATTCTGACCCTAACTGACAGTTCCAGTAAGTTCTCTATCTAACTCCGGTAAAGCCGGAGAACCCGCTTTGTTACCATGTAAAATAGATAGAGGATTGAGCAATTTCAATGTATATTATGTCAAGAGGTAACAAGTATATATACAAGTACATAGAGCCCTAACTATAGAAATAATCAAAAGGAAATCTTATAGATTCGTTGTGAATCCCTATAATTCTGTTATGCACATTACATAAGAGTATGTCTGCATTCATTAAGTAACAGAATATGTCTACGTTCATTATGCAACATAAAACAACAGCTTGTACAGCGTGTTCTTTCCTGTTTCAACTGCTTAAAGGGTCAAAATCAAGCCTGCTTATGTTCAAGCATATTTTCCATGGTGCAGGATTCTACATATGTTTGCGATGAGCAAACTGCACTTCATTCAGAGGTTGGTCTCTAGTCACCCCCTAACTTGAAGTAATTGAACAATCTTGATCTCTGATATGGATTCTCATGTTTCAGTTAAAAAAGACTTTGTACGAGTTGGAGGGATGCCGGACTAACTTAAACTGTTGTTTGGAGAAAAATGAAAAACTCAGCAGGTTAGTGAACCTTTTTAACACCTTACTTTAGTAATACTATCTGTGTTGTGTCTTGTTCAGCTGAGCTTCTATAGACTTTCCTGTTGTTTAACATATTGAAATTCAAACTGCTGCAGCTATTAGTGCCCTCTAACTTGCTCTCAATACTCCTCAGGGAAATAGATGAATTGCGAGGTTCATTAAATAGCATCAGTTCTGCTGACAACGATCACAATGGCGGGAATGAAGTCAGAAAGGTAATTCTCTTTCTGAGTTCCAAACAAGCATGTTTCTGTCATTATATAACTACAAATAAGAGAAAAGAAGAAGAAGAAGAAGGATGATTAGAGACTTTTATCATGATTCAGAAAGTTATTGGACATTTGAATTACAATAAACTTTTCTGACTTAGTAATGAATCTGAGATGAGAATATACCACAATTTGGCCAGAAGAATGTAATCCCACGAAACAACAGAATAATCTTGAGTTGAAGTTGCGCTCAAGCCTCAAAAGCCTTTGGGGTAACGTAATGCTCATAAGTTGACCAATCAAATACACGATATTAGAGCAGTCAGTCCAAGTTCCTACTGTTTTCTGATGATTTTTGACCATGTATTTTGCTTATAGGATCGCACTGAACATTCTATTGTATGATTTACTTTTTTTTTTCATAACTCAAGTTTGCTTATGTTCTTTATGTGGATGACTATAACCATAATTTTTCAGGAGTCAATACCAGAAGCTCTGGCTACTGATGGCAAATCAACAACTGCTGATCAGAAAGAGAAGGAATATACGAGGAAAGAGGATATGATGAAGAAAATTGAGGAGATTATGGATTTGCAACTTGAGTTGGACATTCTGAAAGTTATAGTTCAAGAAGAAAGGTTGCATCGCAATGAATTGGAGCAAAGTGCTCAATCCATGATGCAAGACCTAGAGTCATCAAAAGAGCAGCTTCTGTTAGTGACCAAGAAATGTGAAGATGTTCAGGCAGAACTCAGGGAAGCAAAATCCATTATTGAAGCTCTTGAATCTCAACACCTCTTAGCAATCACTGAGGTAGAAGATCTAAGAAACAGTAACAGCCATTATGCTGAATTACTGCAGAAACAGGAGCTTGAAATCTCTTCCTTGAAGGAGCAAATGATTCGTCAAGAATTGAGAGATCTCTCATCTTCGAAGCTCTTAGAAAGTGATGATTCTCCTTTGCAAGCAAAGCTTAAAAAGATGCATGATTCCCTTGAGAAGGCCAAAATGTTGAATCGGCGGTACCAAAATAACTGTGAATTTCAAGTCTCAAATGAGGAAGCGATGGATGAAATAAGTAGGCAGGCTGAGGCAGAAACTGCTGAAGTGATTGTATGCTTGCAGGAAGAACTCCTTCTTCTGCAGCAGGAAGTCAGAAATAGTAGCTTGAAAGAGATGGAGAGCACAAAGAGGTTAACTGAGCTGGAAACAGAGGTTAAAAGTTTGGAGGCAAAATTGTCTTTGATGACAGAAGAAAATCGAAAACTTGGTGAAATTGTACATGACAAAGAAAAAGAGTTAATAGATATGGCTGAAGAATGGGCACAGGTAAACAGCGAAATTGAAGCTATTGTAAGTGGGGGGAATGAGGCTCTCAAAGATGCATGTGAGCAACTGGATTTTATTTCCAGTACATTTCCAGATAAGAGAAGTAGGATATCTGAACAATTTGGCAGAATGACAAAATGCATTTTTGAAAAGGATTTATTTATTGAAGAGCTCAATCAGAGTCTGGAGAATGCTCTCAACAAAAGAAATGATATGGAATCCATGTTGAGATCTCTTAGAGGGGCAGCTTTAGTTATGACGGAGGCGCACCAGCTAGATTGCCGTGAAAAAGATGCTGAGATACTTTCTTTGACATCCCAGTTAAGCTCAAAGGCACATGTCATCTCAGAACTTGAGAACAAGATTAAGCATGGGGAGGATCAACTCAGAAAGGCGTCGGTCAGTGCAACTGTTGCTTTTGTGGTGGTTAACTGGTTGTCTGAACAGAATTCCAACTATATTGATGCTTTAAGCCAGAAGGACATGCAGCTTAAGGAATATCTAGAAACAAGCAGACAGAAGGATGTTATTCTCTGTGATCAGGCCTCAGTAGTCGCTGCTGCAGAGAATCAAAATGAGTCTCTTGAGGAGCAAAGACAAAAGCTTGAAGAAAGTGATCTGTTGAAAACGATTGAGAAACTTACAGAGCTGCAAGCAGGTGTTTCAACAGTACGTTCGCACCTGAGTGAGTGCGTTGAAATAAGTGGAAGTCCTGGAAAAGATATTAGCAATGAAACTGATGCATCTTTTTCTTCTATTTACAAGTTAGAAACACGGGTAAGTTTTCCGCCATTATGTTTGAAAATTACTCATTCTTATAGTCTATCTGCTTCTTAAGTGGCATGGTAGGTTCCTTTGTATTATTATTGTAATCCAACTTTAATGTATTGTTGCAGACAGGTACTGAGATAAGACAACACAGCCAGCACCTAGAGTCATGCATTCTTGAAGATAGGACAGCTGAAAAACCAGACCATTCATCCGACAAAAGCAATAACATGCTTAAATCAGTCAGCAATTGGAAAACTTTTCAAATGAATTGGAAGGATAAGAATGCCAGAGATGATACAATTATTCTACTAAGGAAAGAAATGGAATCTGCTCTTGAATGCTTAAAAGGAGTGCAAGCTGAAATGGCCAAATTATGCGTTGAGAAAGAAGCATTGCGGTCATCTGAGCAAAAGAGTAGAGAGAGCATTGGAGATTTTGTGACTGCGGTAACTTCTCTACAGACCTATATGGATAAGTTTGAACATGAACTTGAATTTAAAGTGGAGTTAGTAGATGATAAATTACAGAAAATAGAAGATGCTGTGCAAGAGTCCTGCAGCTCCTGGTACGAGCAAAAAAAGGTTAGGCCCATATCATAGAAACATCATACGTTTACTGCTCATGACTTGCAATGTTGAAATCCATCTTTTTGACTGTTATATTACAATTTTATCACTCTAATCCTTGATAACGATCAACTTGACGAAATAAATAATGCGTCATAAAATATAAGCATAGAATTCAATGTAAAGGACAAACTCCTGCCATTAAAGTAGGTGTGATATATAACCAACAATACAGTCTGATCTGCTCTCCTGGAATCCTTATCTGCAGCTACTTGAAGATGAACTTTGTGATGCTAAGGCAGTGGCGGCCCAGAAAACTACGGAAGCTTTATGCATTCTAGCCAAATTCGAAGAGGTCCAAGACACCATGAAAGATGCAGACATCATGATAAATGAACTGATGATAGCAAATGAATCCTTAAAGCTTGACATTAAAGAGCTTAAGAGGAAGGAGATCAGCTTAGCTGACCAGAGAGATATCCTTGTTAATGAAAATCAAAGCTTGCAGTCGGCTAATGATCTAAAGAACATGCATTCCCAAAGACTGGAGCATGAGTTTGAGTCAGATCTGGCAATGATGCAAAGGCTGGTATTGGAGATGGAGGATATAGTTTCACAAACAGCAACCACTTCCACAGATGAGCTGAAGTCTGTAACTACTGATCTCCTTATCATAAAGTCTCAGGTTCATGAATCAACTAAGTGCATGAGGTCATGGCTTGAGGAGATCTGGTCAGATCTTATCGTCAAGGACTGCGCTCTGTCTGTCTTGCATCTTTGTCACATGGGCATTCTCTTAGAAGCTGCTGCTGGATTGAATGCAGAAAATGGGCTACTCCATCATGGGCTAAGTGAATCTAACTCATTAATATCGAAGTTGAAGGAGCAGAACATCAAAGCACAGAAAGAGCTCGAAATGTGCAGAACACTGAAGGGGAAATTATTGGCTGACATTAAAAGCAATTTTGATCGCGTAGTAAGGAAAGAGTCTGATGCAGGGGAATTCACCTCCAAACTTGGATCCTTCGAGAAAAAAATATTAGATCTGCAGTTCCAGGAAGAGTCAATGTTAGCAAGGTCCGAGCAAATGGGATCCGAGCTTGTTGAGTTAATGAAAGAGATAGATCTCAGCAACAAAGCTGTCTTGACATCTGTTATAGATAAAGAAAGGGTGCTGAAGGACAAAGAGGAAGCCTTGACATCTCTGGAAGATAGTTTGGCAATGGAATTTCTTGCAAAAGGCTTTGAGTCATTAATTTTGTCATCCGAGTTAGAAGAGAGCACCATATTAATATCTGAGTTGGAGAGAAAAACTAAGCATTTTTGTAAAGTCGCCGAAAGTTTGAAGAGAGAAATCATTTTTGGCAACCTAGATGTTGCATTAACTGCATCCATCCTACTTGACAAGGAGGTTGAGGTTTCTATCCTACAGCAAGAAGTTGCAGAAGCAGGAATGAAGCATCAGAATATGTTGGCTGAGCTTACTGAAATGAATTCAATGATTGCCAAAGTTCACTCTAGAAATAACGCTCTTGAACAAGATACTTGCTCACTGATGGAAGTTTCTTGTTTGAATGAGACATTGAAACGTGAACTTGGTGAATTGGTGGAAGCAAAGACTGTTCTGACAACCCAGGTCCAGGAACTTAGCTCTGAAAATGAGAAGTTGCTTGAAGAATTACAAACTAAGGATTCAGCCCTTGAAAGTTCTTCAAGTCGCATCTTCTTCCTTGACCAACAAAACCAGATGTTGCAGAATGAAAGCTGCTTGCTGGAAGCTGCATCATGTAGACTCCAGAATGATATGGAAATGAAAGATGCAGAACTTAGAAAAATGAATTGTCTTGAAAAGGAGATTGAAGCACTGCAGCATGAAATAACAGAGTTAAAAGGAGAACGTTGCCTACTCTTCCAGGAGTTGGAGGTCAAAAAAGCAGATATGGAATCTTGTGATCTGAAACCACAGATTGAGAGAATCAATGCTTTGGATGCAGAGAATGCTTCCATGAGAAACCAACTCAGATCTCATGAGAAGTGTACATATGACACTTTCGATATGGTGCTCAAAGTAAACAGCATTGGGAGTAAAGCATTTTATGCTTTTCAAAATAAAAGTGCTGAATTAGATACCATGTTACAGGATATACATAAAGAAGTTGAGAGGGGATCCAAGTTTTTGCAAGAGTTTGAATCATTTAAGAATTTCGCCGAAGAGATTTTATTACAAAGCGCTTCCCTGCAAAATGAGTTAGTTCGGAAGGATGACGTCATCAAAGGAATGCTATTTGACCTTAGCTTGTTACAAGAAGCGGCGTCTAACCACAAGGATCAAAAGGATGAAATTGATGATTTGGTAGCTTCTATTAGTACTTTGGAAACTGAGCTTGATGAAGCTGTTTGTAAAGGTCAATCGCTTGAAGTTCAGTTGCAGGAAAAAATAAGTAAGATAGCTCTTTTGGAGTCGGATATCTCGCAAAAGTGCAAAGACATAGAATTGCTTTCAAGCGAAAACTCGGTGCTGACTGCCAGTGCCAAGGAGACCATCGAAGCAAAATGTTCCATGGAGGAGGAATTGTTAGAGAAAAGGGAAGTTTGTGAGAACTTAGAAATAGAACTCACCAAATTTGGTGATATTGTTAGTGAAATGAACAATTCAATCGAATGCTTGAGGAGAAATCTGAATGACGTTACTAGTGAGAGGGATGACCTCCATGGAGAAATTGTCAGATTGAAAAGGGAGCTAGATATGGCACAAACGCTTGCAGAGGAAAGTGAAGCAATTGCCATAGAAGCAAAAGAGGTGGAGTCATGTTTTAAAATACTTTCTTTAGTTATTGACCTCCAATGTCTTCCGTTTCCTTCCCCCCCTTCCTCCCCCCTTTTCTTACAACAATATTCTGTTAATTTCAGGTGGCAGAGATGGCAAAACTCCAGGCTGAAGAGAAAGAAGAGGAGGTTACATTGTTAGAGAGGTCTGTTGAGGAACTAGAGTGCACAGTGAATGTACTAGAAAATGAGGTACTCATTCTTGCAAATTTAACGTATTCATTTATTTATTTATTTATTATTTAATAACATTATATGTCCCACTTTATAGGTTGAATTTGTCAGAGGAGAGGCTGAGCGGCAGCGTTTACAGAGGGAGGAGCTTGAACTGGAACTTCATGCTATCAAGCAACAAATGAACAATGTAAAAGGCAGTGATGTCGACATGAAAAGGTTTCTGACAACCTTACCATGTGACATGAATTCTCAAAAATGGGACCCTTTTAGGTTTCTAAATGTTTTGATTTCTATTTATACAGGCATCTAGAGGAGAAAGAAAAAAATCTTCAAGAAGCCAGTCAGCGCATACAACTTCTTGAGGGAGAAATCATCTCAAGAGATGCTGAAGTGAGTTTCATCCTCTATTATCTTTACAAAGTTTTGTTCTTTAAGCTCAGTCAGCCAGTCGTTATTAAATGTCAGTAACTAGTTAGATTAACTTTATTTCATTTTATTAACAGATTTCCCACTTCAAGGCTCATATATCAGAACTAAATTTGCATGCTGAGGCACAGGCTTGCGAGTATAAGGAAAAGGTAATTCCTCATTCATTCTGATGATTGTGATAGTTGGTGCTGGTTGCTAACCTGTGATTTTAACCTAATGTAAAAAAAAGTTCAAGGCATTGGAAGCAATGGTAGAAAAAGTCAAGATGGATCCCCATGCCACCCAAGCTCCAACTTTATCATCAAGCAAATTGGAGAAAAATGCTTCAAAGCCTAGGGGTTCCGGTTCCCCTTTCAAATGCATCGGAATAGGCCTGGTTCACCAGTTAATGTCTGAGAGGGATGAGGATCATAGTGCAGAAAGACATCGTATCCAAGAACTTGAGGCTCTTGCTGCAAGTAGACAAAAAGAGGTATGTTACATCCTATAACAACGTGACTTATTTTTTGTAAAAAATATCCTTCACTTAATTGTGTTCATAAACTCATTGCAGATATTCATGCTGAACTCAAAATTAGCTGCTGCCGAAAGCATGACCCATGACGTAATACGTGATCTATTGGGTTTGAAATTGGATATGAATAACTACGCGGTAATTTAGCTTAATCTATATCTTTTGCTTGAGAATGTTAAAAACTAAAGGCCATTTCCTTTTTTCAGTTCTCTAGCATGACCTGACCATTTCACCTATATTTTTGCTTGTGTGTGTTATCCACCAGACTCTGCTGGATAATCAGCAAGTGCAAATGTTGACGGAGAAGGCTCGACTCCGTAATTCTGATGCTCAGTTCAAGGTCACCTTAGTAATGATGCTGTTATCACCAACTAATAGTCTGGACTTATTTAATATTATTAACTGATTCTTTGGTTTGCAGGAGCAAGAGGTTCTTAAGCTGAAGCAACAGCTAAATGAGTTCATAGAGGAGAGGAAAAGGTATTAATTGTCAATTAGATTCTGAGAGTACCCTTGTTGTTTTTCGGATAAGTGCATTTCTCATTTTTTTTTGTTGATTAGATGGATTGAGGAAATTGAGAGAAAACAAGCAGAGATGGTGGCTGCACAGATTGCACTAGAAAAACTGCGCCAACGAGATCACTTGCTTACAACTGAAAATGAAATGATAAAGGTTGGAAATGTTGTGAATTTTTTTTTCAATTAGACCTCGGCAGGTTGTTAATATATCAAAGACCACTTATTTTCTGGACATTTTCTCAGATGGAGAATGTAAATCATAAGAAGAGGGTCATGGAACTTGAAGCAGATATAAAGAAGTTGTCCGGTCAGCAAAACCTTCAACAACGTATCCACCATCATGCTAAAATAAAGGTACATACCTTTTACCATGCTTAGACTTCCCAGACTCTGAAGATCATTGCAATGAAAATGCTAGTTGCATCTTTTGCTACAGCACTAATCTCACTGCTTGTGTTTATCTCGTCACAGGAAGAGAACAATTTACTGAAAAATCAGAATGATGACCTTATTGTTAAGTTGCGGAAAGCTGAAACAATTCTTTCAAGAGTCAGGGAAGAGCTGGCTCACTTCCGTCAAACTAATGGAAGAAGCCCCTACATTAATTTTGATAAGGAGCAAATACTGGAGAACAAGTTGAAGGTTAGTATTCTCCAGAATTTAATGTTGCCTAGGACTAGGAGTAACCCCAATGTGGCTGTGGACATATGCTAGGACAGAGAGAGAAGAATCCTATTGTTGTATATATAGGACTTAAAACAATTTGTAATTTGTCCAACAGGAAAAGGAAGAGGAAAGACTGCAATTGGCGCAGAAGTTACTTGGCCTGTGCGCTACTGTGCTGAAGGTCAGGAGAACTTCATCTTTCATTTACTTAAGGATATGTAGTTTTATAGCTACAGTTCTTTGAATTTTGTCAATTGGCATTGGTTTTCTTATCATTTGGAACATATACTGTAGGCTGCTGGAATAACTAGACCAACATCCGAGGTTGGGATCTCAGCAGCTGAAGAAGCACTTGAGCAGCTCAAAAACAAATTGAATGCACTGGAAAGAGAACTACAAGATGCCAAATTTAAGGTAACATACTAACATCCATAATATTTCAATCATTTTGTTTCATTGAAAACCTCAAAACACAGTTCGTATCAAACTAACGATGCCAAGTCACTAACAAATTCACTCACCTTTACCAGAATAAAATGACTAATGAACGAATCCGATTGTCTGAGATCATGCCACAATCTTCCCCTCTAAGAATAGATGAAAATGAACAGACTTCAAACAGAGGATCTTCCCCTCTAACAGTCTTCGATCGGTGAAGCTTCTTTACCAACTTAAAGAGGCAAAATTTATATGTACATTGTGTTAGTTTTTTGCTAGCAGTTTGTTCATATGTTCTTTTGTATGTATACACTTCCCCACAAAAGTTGAAGATCATGGAAATCTGTAAATAGTGTATCCAGGATTTTGTATTATATTCTTTTGAAAGTACTTATGTAATTCATTTATTTTGTAAATCTCCTAGTGTAAACTTCTACTTATGTTGTACAATCAAAGTGCTGTCACATTTATGTTTTATTGGTGAAAAAGACAATTTGGACGTAACAGTTATTTCTCGTTCCATGTTAAACCCTACTCCAATTTTTTCTTTTCTCGTCGGCAAGTACTTCAAAAACTTTACTCTTTGCTAATAAAGAACTTGACATCTTTTCCTTAACAAAAAATAAATTTACCCCACATCAAATATTCTAGGAGTAATATTTTTATAATTTTGAATCTTCGTTCATTTAACATTTTAACTACAATCATACACAAAAAGGAAAAAGGAAAAAAAGAAGAAGAACAGACTTAGGAAAAAGAAACCTATATATTCCCTTTTTCTTAAATTAAGAAGAAGATAGGTGTAGAGACGACATGTTGCTCTTTTTTCCTAGACCAGATTGTTTTAATTATATTTATTATACATTACACTATCTTTATCTACAATATTAGTTTTAGAAAGATAAAAATATGTTCATTTGGTGCTCTATATGCATCGGTTAGGAGCCAGCAGGGGGTGACGTTGCGTCGTCTGTGTATACAGCTGAGGAAATCGAAGAAGATAGAGTCATTCTCTACCTTGAATTTGGTAATCGTCAAACCAAAGGACCGATTAAATGAATCTAGACTCTTCATGTTACTCAATATTATACAAAACAAAAATGATAAATTTGAAAATTGAAAGTATTAGAAGTGTTCCATAATTTCTATTGATATATAAATTTCCAACATGATTATAAGACTCATGGATAACATATGACCTAAATGTAAACATATTACATGATTAACACTCGGTCCCAATCAACTATCCGGTATATATTTGACTACCGGATTGTTTGCTTTAATTAGATATATAGGCTATAGCCATTTTGGTGAATGATGTACAATCACAATGTTATAAAAATTATGTTTTGTTGGTGAAAAAAGGCATTTTTGTTTGTTGTGGATGTAACATTTATTTTTCGTCCCAAGTAAAATTCACAATTTTTTTTTCTATTCTTATTTTATCTGTTTATTATAACTTATAAGTAAACAATCCTACAAATCTAACTTTTTTGCACCTCGTACTATGACAATAGGTTGGAGAATCGCCTCCAAATACCATACGGCCTTCTCCTTAATAAAATTATGAGTTAACAAATATTGAGGCAGAAAGATTCAAAATAAACCTCTCAACTTACCGCATATTTTTAGTTCCTATAGCAAAGGTTAATACCTTATTTATTTTAAATAAAAATTATTTTAAAAAATTATATTCTATAGATACCTTTTAATATTTATAGCAAAATATCTAATTTTGGTTACCTCCTATCCCTAAGCCACTAAATACGTTATTCAGTTACTCTATTTTCTTTCTCTCTCTACTTTGATACATGTCATTCTCTTCCTCCATTCCCTAAAAACACGATGCTCAATCTCAAAATTCCTCTCACCCACATCACTACCATTAGTCAAAAACCCCACGCTCTCTCCTCCCCTTGCACTTTCAGACAACTCTTCATATCTTCAACATAAGGAAAGGGAGGTCCAAAACACAGAAATAGAGAGAAAAAGAGAGAGGACGCAGTACATTTCAAGTCATACGAAGATTCATCTTCATTATTATTTAGTAAATAGATGAAGAATTAGAGTCAAAATTAAAACTTGGAGACAATGAATTTTGAGCCAGAGGAAGACAATATGAGGGACGAAGATCTGCTGGGTTAATGGTTTTTGCGATGAAAAGAGTTGTTGGTTCTTGGTTTTTACGTTGTATTTTAATGTATTTCATTGTATTCATTGTCTTTTTTTTCATTGTAATTCAATGTATCTCGCTGTATTTCATATATTTCATTATATTCACTGTCTTTTTTTCATTGTATTTCAATGTATCCCGCTGTATTCTATGTATTTCATTGTATTCACTGTCTCGCTATATGCCATGAATATATTCGTATGTTTTGTTAATTAATATAATTTATGTATTCAGATGTATTATATAATTTCTCTGAAGATTGCTATGTTTTTTGGGGTATTTTTCGGTTAAGAATCTTTTTTATAACTGAAAATACAAAATTTGTATGTTATAATTGATTTTGTTGAGTTATATAAGGAGTATATTATATTAATTGATTCATTTGCCGTTTAAAAACAATGTAATCCCATGTTTCACGCCGTGAATACAATCGAATACAATAATCTGTCCAGCTGTACTCGAATACAACAACTAATTAGTTGGACTTCCCTGATTCACGCCTATTTTGCGACTGTATTCATGAATACAGTAGCTTAAATACACCTAATACATCTTATAACAATAGAAAACGTATCTACAATCCGTAATATAGCAAATGGTATATATAGATAGTTAATTACCACTAAAAGATAGTGTTTTATGAAAATTTCTCTTTTTAATATTCTCTGTTGAAGATTCAAAATATTTAATTGGAACGACAATACTCAAATAAACATTAGTATTGCCACAACAAAAAAATAATTCCTTTTGCGTCCTATAAAATAACTTGACATTTTTCTCAAATAAACATATCTTTTCCCAACAGTTAAATCCAATATTCAGTTTTTTCTCATTCGTATGTTAATCTTTCTATTTTGGCATGTGGCAAAATGTTTGAGAAGGCCATAGAAAATATTACCTATGAGAATATTGACACAATAAACCCAAGATCAAACATGATATTAAGACACAGAATAAATCAAGATTAGCAAGAATGGTTGTGTACCTATTTGAGCCATATCGTGGATTGAGAATATGGCGGCGTCAATGAAACAGCTACCACACACAACAGATGTTATGAAATAACTCTGACTATATGTTTATATAAGGGCTAGAGAGATGGCCTAGCTGTAATTAATGAAAACCTGACGGACCCTCCCATTACGGACCTCATTAGGTTGAGCCTACACTTACTGTCGTACTAGACCCACCGAGCACACAAAGTGCACGTCCCAAGAACCAATTATCACACTTATAATTGAGCTCACATTTATGAACTATTATCAAACCTGAATATTTAAATATAAATAAAATATTTAATAACGTAAGTCCATTTTCTTACATTACCTTCATAGTTTCACAAGTTTCGGAATTTCTTAATTTATTTAACTAATCAATTTTTTATAAGATATATGTGACAAAATTTACACATCGCCGAATAATGTAGATGGGGTCTTTCAAACAAACGTTTCGTAAATAAGACAATTAACTTAGAAGTTGAACATAAAACTTACACTTTGATCATCATATCATATCATATATCATATATCATATACTATATTATAAGTGTGAAGATTTTTAGATAAAATTAATTTACTAAAACGATCATGAAAATTAAATGACTATTGTACCCCTCATTTAAACACAATTTCAATAATATTTTTATAACAAAAGTCTACCTTCCAATAAATGATAAAATTAAGTTGTACAACAGTGAATCAGGTAAATGGGTATAGAAACGGGTGGGATAATTTCCTTACAACATCCACTTAGCAGCCTATTCAATGCCTTAAAGTTGCTTTCCAATAAAATGATAAAATTATTTGTCATGCTTGCTCGTTTTAGTTGAAAAAATAAGGTTGCAAAAACCACCTCAATATTTAGTTATTTAATGACCTTGAGGTAAATGCAAATGATTCTTGAAAGAATAATTTTGTTGCCTTATATGCATAAGCTTTTTAAAATTCTCACCGGATAATATGTGTTGCGTATGCACGAATTGTGAATTAAAAATTACATAAATGTCAAGAGTTATGGTTATAACATAAAAGTTGAAATGTGTGAATGAGATATATACTAAGAACATCATTTCAAAATAAAATATTAGATGTGAGATACGATTGTATTACATGTTTGAACCTAATAACATCAAAATTAATTTCATTACACATTGTTACATTGCACTTACAGCCTCAACTTCACAGATCTAGCAGATATCAAATAATGTTAGCATTAAAGTTTCATGTTACTCATCACACTCATGTATACTTTAATACAATAAAATTATTTAAAAAAAAATTGTATTTGATATCGGATACACGTGCAACTCACGTATCCAATAACTAGTAATATTAAAAAATATGAATCTTAGTGTAGGCATGTAAATTTTATTAGAATTAAATCCGTAAAATAATTGGGACTATATTTTAAATTCAAGATATATTAATTCAAATAAACTTATTGGGCGAATATAACTGGATTAGTTATATAAGTCTAATATATATGGATTAAATAAATAAGTCTTAATCCATTGGGCTAGCCCCTTTAATTGGGCTAAAGTGATGAGCCCAATTTATTAAGCCCAAGATGTCATCTTCCTAGAGGCCCAATTTAACGCCACGTGTCAAATGACGTAGCGCACCAAGTCAAACGGAGAGCCAATGGGATCATGCCACGTGTCAAAATGACAAGGCGTGCCAAGTCACATTAAAAGGCCAATGAAACTGCGCCACGTGTGCAAGTGGCATGTTCTGGCCAATCGAATGCGGCCATGTCACACTTCAATTTGATTGGCCGGAAAGAGTTTGTTCTTATCACAACTCCTCCCTTCCACAACTATAAATAGGGGTCTTCATCAAGAAATCAAGTTCAAGAACGAAGAACAAATCGAGTTCACGTTCAAGAACAAAGAACAATTCAAGTATTCAAGATCAAGAACGAAATCAAATCAAATACAAGGCGTTCAAGATCAAGGCTACTTGTTCATGATACAATTCGTGGCATCAATCAAAGTGTTCACGACGGATAAATCAAATTAAAATTCAAGATCAAGCTCAAAAGCCCTTGAATTTATATCGGAAAGTAGAATCAGAGGAATCATAGAGATTGTAACATTCAATTATTTGAAATAAAATACTACGATTATTGCGATATTTTTCGATCTTGATTTTATTTTCTCAACGCAAATTTATTGTCTACGCTTAGACTTCTTGGTCTACACCTCTGACTTAGAATTTGGTAATCAGCAAACCAAGGCTCATTAGCTAACTAACCAAAATTAAACATAATATTTCACTCCACCAAACTATAATTTTGACCAATAATTTTAGGGTTTTTCCGCTATAATACAAAT